GGGAGTTGAAGTCCAAGAACATCTGGAGGCCCAAGGTTGGGGACCACTGCATTAGAGTGAAGTTGGACAAGTTGCTCAGTGGCTTAAGCATCTGGCTGCAGGTTGGGAGTTCAATTCCCCACTGGGCCTTCCTTGACAGGGGCTGGACATAATGACCCTTAGGGTCCCTCTCCCAGTTCTGCAGTTCTGAGATCATTATTATTATTAAAAATGGTGCAGTTGGGGGGAAAATGTACATATGGAAACAGATGTGCAGTTGGAGAAGCAGAGAAAAGAAATTAGACTGGTTATATGGATCTGTTTAGTAAGAATGTAAGCAAAAAGCCATTCCACATTTAAAAAAAATGTATGCAGGAGTTATTAAGTGCTTGGTTTCTCCACTTAATAAAACAGCTTCCTTTTCTTATTGGTCAGAAATGCATATTATTTGTCTTCCTTAGTACTGGAAGTGTGCAGTGCTAAATGCAGTGGGAAAATAGACTGGTTTAAGCCACCAGCTGAGTTGTGGGCTTCACAGGCCATCATCATCATTATCATCGTCATCTTAGAAATGCAGAGCTAGAAGGTACCCTATGAATATCAAGTCCAGCCCCTGGCAAGGAAGCACCATGGGGGAATTGAACTCCCAACTCGGGCTTCACAGCCAGATACCTAAACCACCGAGCTATCCAGCCAGCTAGATTATTCGAAGGCTGGTGAGGCTGAAAACGAGATTCGTTTGCCTTGCTACATATATGTCATATACAACCATTTCCTTGGTTTCAAAGTCACCTTGTAGACTTTTGAAACATCACATAATTGTGCAAAACGGCATTCAATATAGAAAGCAGATACTCTTTCAACACACCTCCTTCATTCTGGAGAAATCTTCATCCAACGCCACCTTTGGAGGACTTATGATAGATATACTGTTATTAATCAACTGGGAGGCAGGTATGTGCCCATTTCCAGATGTTGGACAGTGATTCCATCAGCCGCAGTCAGCAGATCCAAGGGTGAGGAGTGAGGGAAGTTGCAACAACATCTGGAGGGTCACAAGTGGCCCACCCTTGCATTTTAGGTTCTCCATATAGAATTAGCAATTCTAACAACAGGGGCAAGCAAATTTCCAGATGTTGGACAGTGATTCCATCAGCCGCAGTCAGCAGATCCAAGGGTGAGGAAAGTTGCAACAACATCTGGAGGGTCACAAGTGGCCCACCCTTGCATTTTAGGATACCCATATAGAATTAGCAATTCTAACAACAGGGGCAAGCAAAATATACATGTGTGTGTGTGTGTGTGTGTTTTCCACTAAAACCTGTGTTTCAATTTAAATATCTAGGAACCAATGGGCAGCTCATCAAAATCAGTTCCTTTGACATGTATTCTGGTGGTAAGTGCATTTGTTCATTCAGTAGTTAGCACTGTACTTACTGCATAATGGAAAACATTCAAAATCCAGATCAATGGTTCCCTGCCCAGCATAGCTTGTGGTGAAGGCTTCTGGGAATTGCAGTCCAAGAACATCTGAGTTAACCAAGGCTGGGAACCACTGATATAAATTTTTTCCCCATCACATACAGAAATTCAGAAAGAATTTAACTTTCCCAGCCTTCTGTGCACCAAAGTGCAGTCCAAGAACATCTGGGTTAACCAAGACTGGGAACCACTGATATATTTTTTTTCCCCCATCACATACAGAAAATCAGAAAGAATTTAACTTTCCCAGCCTTCTGTGCACCAAAGGACATTGGAGACATTGCCATGCTTTCTGTCATGCCTTTGGCCAAAGTACTCAATGGAACGTTTCTATGGGTTTACTTCCCCACTTTCCCCATGTGGGTAGAGGCAGGCTGACTGGAGCATTTTCAACACGCTCCTGCTCTCTGTTTCCTACGTGAGGAAATGGCAAGGTGGCCCTAAGCACCCTCAACCAGTGGTTTCAGAAGCCATCTGATTCCCAGCTGGAACTTAACCCTCTTCTGGAAATGACAGCTAAGAGCAAGAAAGGGAATCCTTGCTATCTCCAGTGATGGTTCCCCTCCTCCTCCTCCTCCTCCTCCTTCATTGCAACTTGGTACAATAAACCACAAAATCCCCTAGCTTTTGTTTATTACTGCTGGGGTTGGGATTTGCAAAGAGTAACCTCTGGGTTTTGAACTGCCCCTTGCCACTGTCCACAGCATGCCTCCATAATCTTTCTCCTAAGCTTCTATTCTTTCCATTTTCAAGTTTTTTTTTCTGTTCTCAGGGTCTCTGGGAGTCAAGCAGTTGAGGTCAGAAAGAGATAAACAAGTGGATCCAGAGAGGAGGAGTTGCTGGGAGGGAGCAGTGAATGGGGACCTCTGGAACACTTTGCACTAGAGCTGTGTGCTCTGTGTTCATATCCAGGGGATATGAATATGAAGTGCACCAGCACAGGTGTCCCAGTGGTCAACCCCTGCCCCTCGGAACCAGCCTGGTCCATTTACGAGGCTCTGTGTGGCGTGTGGGTCCATCAACATTGCCGTTGCACCAATGACAGGAGTAGTCCTGCTGGCAGTTCCCGGTCTCTCCCTGCAGCTGACCACTCAGCAGTCCAGAGGGGAGACTCCTCTTCCCGCCTCCTCACTGGAGGGTACAAATACAAAGTGCACATTTCGACTTTGCACCCATCAGTTCTCCCTCCAAATCCTGAATGCAAGTAAGCTAGGAAGCACAAAGCAGCTTGCATTTGCTTTGACCCCATAGTGGCTGAAATCCTATAGCTTAGCATAGTAAGTCCACCTAGAGCAGGCCCACTGAATCCCTGGGGAGTCACCTCTTCTGTAAGTCCCATTGACTCAAATAGGCCTACTCTAGTTGTGACTTACAATAAGATGCAACCAGAGTGGGCCTGCTTGGATCAACAGAGGAGTCAACTCAACAAATCTCCACTAATTCAATGGGCCCAATCTAGTGCAACTTGCTACATGAAGCCACAGGGATGTTGGCAAATCTTTGGGTCCAAATTGCAAGCTCAAAAAATGGGCTCCCTCCCCCCTCCGGGCGTGTATCGCAAAGAGAGCAGGCCTGGAAGGGAAGCCAGGCAGGCAGGCACATGTGTGTGCACAGAGACTGCAGGCTGACCTCCCTTCCTGGAGCCAGCCCCTGCCTCTGCGCATGGGCCAGCCAAGCTGGGTGGCAGGTGCGTGGGTGGAGGCAGCAGCCAAGCTCCTGGAAGACAAGCCCAGCCTGCTGCCTCTGAGGATGATGGAGGAGGAGGCAGGAGCAGGGAGGGAGACCCATCCCTAAACGGAACTTGAAAAATGGGTCCGAGTCGCAAGTTGAATCCGGGTCAAGTCGTTGGAGCGACTTAAGTCTGACTTTATAGTTCTTAAGTTCAGCCATGATATGGTCAAAGCAAATGCAAGCTATGGAGACTAGATGCTACATATTATGGGAAACACTGAGTTGCTGGTCCTGTGCTTCCTAGCTGACAGGATGTGGACCAACAGGGGATGGTGTTGGACCCGGCACGGCCACTGTGTGTGTGTGTAACTTTTCCCCTTGCTGGGAAAGTGAAGGGTCAGTGAGCAGGATGAATAGATGATGGCAGGCATGAAGGTCTGTCTGAATGGGGGCAGCATGATTTTATCCAGTAATGGATCAGGTGGGGACAGAATGGTACCCACTTTGCTTTATGCGTTTGGGTTCTATCTCAAGGCCAAACTGTACCTCAAAGATAGGCTACCATGTGCAGAGAAATTATGGCTGTGGTCAGATTAGAGAAAGGCTCCCCTCTTCTTTCTCACGTCTTCTGGTTCCAGTGTAGTCACATGGTTACGTGACGTTGCATCTATCCTCTGATAGTGGTTCAACCCTTTTTAACTATTCCACCATCTTCAGGGTAAATTCTATGTGTTACATTTGTCTACACCCCTCAAAGGGGACATATCTCCTTCCTCTTCTTCTTCTTCTTTTTTTTCTTTTCTTTGCCCCCCTCGCCCCCCTTAGACCTGTGTGGAGACATTGCTGTGTTAGCAAAAGGCCCTTGGGGGGGGGGTTCCCTGGGGTGCTGCCAAACCAGTCAGGAGCAACACTGAAAGGACAGTGGTTGCCTTTCTACTCCTACACAGGCTTTATGTGGAGGTAAGATGGCTCAGTCAGAAACACCTCCAGGAATCATGTCAACAAGAAACAAAACAAAAGCAAAAATACACAATAAAGAAGACAAGGTTGTGGCACTTTAAATACTTACTGTTATATTTTAATGTGAGCTTTCTGACCTTCAGTCCCTCCACTCCATCTTACAGCAACCCCAAACATTGAAAAGTTACTTTTCGTATTAAAACTCCCAGAATCTCCAACCAACATGGCAGAAAATGTAATGTTTCCATGCTTTCCATATGAGATTCTTTGTGATCCCTTGTTAAATAGGGACATACTGAATCCACTGCGTTTTATCGTTGTTGGTTATTCTGCAAATGCTCTGAAAGACCACTAGATGGCAGGCTAAGAAAACAAAAAAGTCTCATGCTCTCTCCCTCTCTCTCTCGCTCTCTCTCATTTTATTTCCTTAGATATTAAAGAGTTATTGAATTTTCTGAAAGCTATTACCACAGGTACCCTCGTGCTCATAGCCTCCTATGATGACCCAGCCACAAAGTAAGCAAGCAACTAAAGGGCATGGTTAGAAGAATTGTGAAAAGTAGTAGAAAAAAGCTAATGGTTCAGCTGAATCTTAGTGCACTCAAAAATCTAATTCAGCCCATTTGGGAGGTGGCAAATTTTTAACAATAATTAAACTGGTGTTAATTTGTCATTTAAGGTTAAGCTAGATAACTAATATACACTTTTCCATTTTAAAAAATTGAGAATCATGGTCTTTTGTTTCTGTAAGTGCTCAGAGGTGCTTGTGGTGGTGGTGATGACCTATATCATCAACAACCATTCACATGCCATGGCAGAGCTTAATGTTGGTAAAGAGGGCATTTGATCGTACCTTGTATTCTGTGTTTTCTGGGCACTAAACTCCTTCCCTTGCAAAGAACCAATACAGTATATTCACCTAATGAAAAGCAAGCCCCATTGAACTCAGTGGAACTCACTGCTGAGCAGACTCCACTGCCAGGATTGGGCCTCCCGGCAGTGATTTTTAAATATTAGAAGCTCCATCCCTAGATTCCAAAGCCTTCCTTAGATCAAAAGGGATTCCCCAAGGGCACCTCCAAACCTGCAAAGAGGAGCCATCGGGAAGGAAACTTTGAATTAAATTTAATGAAATTCAAGACAAGGCAAGACTAACGTTGGCTGATGATGATATCACCAATGTTTGCCGTGCAGGCTGACCAACTGAATTTCAGCCACTGTGTTTTTATGTTTCACAGTGGGTGCTGGGAGAAATAATATCCATCTGTTTGTTTAACAAAACATGTACCTGTATTTGTCACTTACCAAAGAAGTGTAGAAATTCTAAAAGCTAAGACAGACAGACAGACAGACAGCAGACAGACAGACTGACTGACTGACTGACTGACTGATTGATTGATTGATTGATTGATTGATTGATTGATTGATTGATTGATTTTGCTGCTGTTGTATTTTTCTGTGCACTGTTAATTTTGCTGTTGGTAGATAGATAGATAGATAGATAGATTTTGCTGCTGTTGTATATTTCTGTGCACTGTTAATTTTGCTGTTGGCTTTGTTTTGTCTTAATAAGTAATTGGAAATTGGAAATTATGTACAGCTCTTTGGAACTTTCCATGGGAAGCAGTCTGGGGGGAAAATAAGACAAATATTTTCTTTCTCATTCTCTCAGGCTGAATGATGAAGCCCGAAAGTTACTTGCTGATCTAGGAAGCAGCTATGCTTCTAAGCTGAGTTTTCGAGACAACTGGATATTCATTGGTGGGAAGGGACTCAAAAACAAAAGCCCATTTGAACAGGTACTTTCTCATGAACAGTAGCCACAATCCAAAATGGAAACAGATAGTTTGTGGGATAAGCAGAACAATCCTAACCTCTGGAACACTTTTTGGTAAATATTGACACAGAGCAGAGAAGCTCCAGTTTCACAAGGATGTGTTTGGTTTGTCCTGAGACTGTATAGTGATACCTGCAGAGATTTTTGGGGACATAAATCTACTCCAGTTCTTTTGTTCTCCATGTGAGGCCCTCCAAAGAAGCATTCTGGGCTGTGTGGGAGATTAATCGCTTTAGATCTTCTGGATTCAAAGTCCCTTCCTTCCACTGAGGCACTCTCAAAATCAGGTCCCTCAGCTGTGCCAATCTGAGACCCTGGTACAGTTTATCCTTCCATTGGTTTCAGTAGGAAGGTAATATTAAAAGCAGATCCCTCCACCAGGCTTTTTTTTAAAAGCAAAAATAATAAAGTCACCCAAACAATAAACCACCCAAAATGTTTTTTATCACTTCATGTGACTCTTGGAGACAGGAAAAGCCGACATGGTTATTACAGGCAAAGAAGCTTCAGGGTTTTGTGGTTGGAACAAAACCCTTCTGATGCTTCCTGGTACCTAAACAGCAGGGTGGGTTGTTGGCAGGATCAAATCCTGACAGTCAACTCTTTGCAGGTTATGTTTCTCATGTTGTTTAGTCGTTAAGTCGTGTCCGACTCTTCATGACCCCATGGACTAGAGCACGCCACGCCCTCCCATCTTCCACTGCCTCCTGGATGTTTCTCACACATCCAATTAATTTTTAAAACACACAACGGTCAGTGCAGGAAGCTGCTTGGGAGTGCCCTGAAAAGGGTCGCTTTTTTAACGACCAAGATCTCCGCTGATCAGGGTAGACAATACTAAGCTGGATGGACCAATGACATGATGTGACATAAAGCTTTCTCCTCACTGCGTATGTCTGGCTCTTGCCAATGCAAAAGGTATAAAACAAAAAGCCAATTCCTATCTCACTCCCACACTGACTCCGTCCCCCTTTTTTGCTTCCACAGTATTTGAAAAACGATAAGGAAACCAACAAATACGACGGCTGGCCTGAGGTTCTGGAAATGGAGGGCTGCATACCAAGGAAGGTGGACTAAAAAAAAAAGAGCTAAATTCAGAAGAACAGCAACCCAGGGAGTCTTAACTACCAGGCTTTTAACTTTGCCTGAGCGTGGGCACTGGGTGTGGGCAGAATCAGTCATTTCTTACCAATTCAGTTCTTCGCTGTGGGAGATTCTGAACACAGAGCAGAAGCTACCGTGCGGCTTTCCAACGAGGTGACCAAGAAAAGCGTCTTTGGTAGCCTGAGACCAATGGGATTTCAATGCACTGTTCTATCAAGAATGGGTTTTACAGAGATGAAGAAGCACGCGCATCTGAAGATGTGTACTTGCTGTAACATAATAATTCTCAAACAGCGAAGCCAACATCACAGGCAGTCCCTCAGAAAGCCCCTTCCTACTCTCCATTTCAAGCCTCCCGTTCCAGATTCTTTGTTGCCTTGTTTTCTTATTTATTTATTAAGCATTTCTTCTTTTTCACCAGCTGGTGAACGGTAAAGTCAGCTAATAAAATTTGTCACAAAAAGCAGACTAAAAAAAGTTTGCAGAATCATAGGACAATTGAGTTGGAAGACACCTATAAAGCCATTGAGTCCAACCTCCTCCTCAATGAGTAATGCAACAATGAATCAGTTACTGTTATGCTGTACTGACTGACACCAAAGGCACTTAGACATCACAAGAATCATAGAATAATTGAGTTGGAAGGGGCCTATAAGGCCATCAAGTCTAACCCCCACTTAATGCAGGAATCCAAATCAAAGCAGATCTGACAGATGGTTGTCCAATTTTCTCTGGATTGCCTCCAGTGTTTGAGCAGTCACCAACTCCTGAGGTAATTGGTTCTACTGTTGTACTGCTCTAACAGTTAGAAAGTTTTCCCTGATATTCACGCAAAATCTGGCTTCCTTGAACTTGAGCCCATTGTTACGTGTCTTACACTCTGGGATGATCAAGAACAGATCCTGCCCCTCCTCTGTATGACTTTCAATTATTTGAAAAGTGCTATCATGTCTTCCCTCAGTTCCAGGACCATAAAAACCCATCCCGATACATTTAGATTTTCAGATCCTTCTATGAATATCATCAGCAAAAGGAAGGCACAACATATTTACAAAGAAGAAACCTTATTTGTTTATACATTGGAATGCCCTGAAGGAGATACTGTATGAGTTGTCCCAACCTAATTTTCCTCTCAGCACCAAAGTGAAATATTTTTCCCTGTGTTTCAAACGATACAGTTAAACATGAAAAGTCCTTCTTTTTCCTTTCAGTTCAATTGATTTAACTCTTTTAAAAAATGGTTTGCTGGTTCAAAAGTTACATTTTGACTCTTGATTTTCTTTAATTGCCTTTGGGTACATCACCTTGGGAATGAAAGGCAGCTTATATGTTTTATACATACATACATACATACATGCATGCATGCATGCATGTATGTATGTATGTATGGATGTATGTATGTATGTATGGATGTATGTATGTATGTATGGATGTATGTATGTATGTATGGATGTATGTATGTATGTATGGATGTATGTATGTATGTATGGATGTATGTATGTATGTATGCATGCATGCATGCATACATACATACATACATACATACTTTTTCACAAAACTGCATTACAGTGTACAGTGAAATACGCTGTGTCAATCTCATTTGTCTCCCCTGTACGTGTATATTGTAACTTTTGGTGACGGTTGCAGTTAAGTCCTATGTGCTGTTTTCCCTCAAAACTAAGGGCAATATCAAACTAAGCTCCTGCCCTGGAAACAGTTCTGCCTTGCTGCTACAGCCTGTGTCTTTGGAAGTAATGAAGTGAATTTCAATGGGTCGAACAGATTCTGAAGGCTTCTTTATTTGTTGCAGGTTTTAATGTATTATGCAGTTTTCAATGTGTTTTTTTTAATGGTTTGAAAATATTGTATATTCTATGCTGTTTTTATTGTTGTATTCTGCCCTGAAATCTTAGAATAGAAATATCCTAAATTAATAAAACTTCATTCCCATTCTAGCTACCCTGAATATATATATATATTTAAGAGTAAAGTGCGATGACAACAGTTTTATCTTTTAACCAGCAGGTGGAAACATTCCCCTAGGAACAAATACGTACAGTATACGTATTATCCCTTTTGGGAGAGTCCCAAAATGCCAATAGAGCAAACTGGTACGCTGGTGGCATTTTGCCTATACAGTAAAATGCCATCCAAGGAACTTTATATTCCAAATAAGGGCTATTATCTGCCATAGCAGTGACTTGCTAGTTTCATATTTTATGAGAGCGGCATTATGCCACCTTGGTAAAAGCAACAGAGATTCCCATTGAAAATTTCCTGGCCATTTATAGAAATCAGTAATTTATTATACTGGCAAAGTTCAGTTGTTTACGATTGAAGGAGATGTAAACAATTGAGAGAAATGTAAATATGGGGAGGCAAGAGGCCACGCAGCTCAGATAAACTGGGATAATCACAGAACACAACAGCGGAAACGGAAACACTCTTAAGGACTGGATTTAAAAAAATAATCACCAATTTTTAATGGCCTAGAAAAAATCTTTGCTTGATGCCAGAACAATGACAAAGCATGTGGTCCTCCAGAGAGAGTGTTCTATGCTATTAATATCCTTTGTAGCAGAACCTTCCTTAAAATGGGTGTGAAAGGCTACAAACAAGCAGGCAGAGAGAGAGAGAGAGAGAGAGAGAGAGAGAGAGAGATTTCTTTAAAGTGGTGTGTGTGTCCTTAAAATAACTGAGACAGTGAAGAAAAGCATAACATTCTTCAGTAGACCATCTTTTAGTGTACTAGCAGAATGTGGCCAAGTGAACAAAAATCTTAGTGGAAATTTGAGAATTCATAAGCCTTCTTGCCTCACAGGCCCTGGCTACAATGGCACAAAGTTGGAAAGGAGGGGGGGCAGGAATACTCTTCTCAACCTTTGCTTGATATCACAAAAACCTCTCCCTGGTCTCAAGTTTTAGTTTTGAAATCTCAGGAACAGAATCCTGCTGATCTGATTGTTGGGTTAAATCCAATTCTTAGTTACAAATAGAGTAGAGCCATTGAATTTAGTGGCCCTTTACATTTCAGGTAATTGACTCTAGTTGGAATGAATGATTGGATTTTGTCCCTAGAGCTACTGCTATAGAGTTAATGTTTCAGATAATTGATAGATAAATTCATGGTGCTCCAGATGTTGTCCGATAATTCCATAAGCCATAGCCAGCAAAAGCAATGCTGAGAAATTATATGGGGGTGTAGTCCCAAAACACCCAGCGGGCCACCAATGCCTGGTCGTGATCTAAACAGCTCCCTTTGAAATCTAGCAATTTAGAGCCATAGGTCTAAATCAAGTTGGTAGTCCTAACGAGAGTTAAACCCCTGGACAGAGAATCAGTACTTATCAAAATTCCACTGGTTCAATGGATCTGCTGTATTAGGAACTTGTTGTTTGTTGTTGTTTAGTCGTTAAGTCATGTCCGACTCTTTGTGACCCCATGGACCAGAGCACGCCAGGCCCTCCTGTCTTCCACTGCCTCCCAGAGTTTGGTCAAATTCATGTTGGTTGCTTCGAT